CCAAATGTTTACTCACAATCGATACGAGAGTGCTTAGCTAGATACTTTTTGTTGACTTCGAGTTAGTTAAAGACAGAAAAACGTTGATGATAGTGACTGTTCATGAAATGGCCAAAAATCGTGAAGTTTTATGTACATGTAAACTGAGTACGCCAGCACAGAAAAACCATTGATTGAAAGTCGCAATTTTTTTTTTTGCAAACTTAAGTGTAGCTCTCATGATCCATGCTACAATAATGACAAATAACTAGCTAAACTGAATAGAACAAGAAAACTAACATAGCAAAATAACTAAACAATTACTTAGCCTCTATTGCATTAGCCGAAGCCACCACAAGAACTGTGCAATATAGTGTGTTGGTTATTTGTTCATTCACAAAAAGCCTAAATATATGAACAAATTATTACTATAAATCTTGTGGGAAGCTTAAATCCAGACACGTTAATATAGGTTTAAAAACTTGAAACAAATTTGTTTCCATTGTTTGCATTGTGTTGAAAGCTCTTCATCTCTTTGTTCAATATTTTCAATCCATCAATAAGTTGGTGATGACTGTGTTTGCAGGATATTTTGGAAAAAAGAGTTCTCTAACATAAATTGTGTAAATTTAAAAAGTAAATATTGGAAAAGAGGTTTCGATAAGCTTAATGCAACGAAAAAACTCAGTCAAGAATAAGTGACCAGAAGTAATGACACCTAGGACAAAATCACGAACATACAAAAAATATTCACCAATCTCGGCAAATATTGCTTCGGATCAATCACGCACATAAAACATTTCACATGTCAGCTGCAAAGATCACGAGTGAGTCTGGCTACCTTCATATACGTTTGTGGCTTTCCCACTTTGGCGAAAGAAATTTTGTTATCTATCTTCGATTGTTTTGCTTCCAAGACTAACAAAAAAAATTAAAACAATTGGTTTCACTGGATTTCGCTGATTCATGCTTACCCTTGCCCTTCGTGGCTGCCTTCCATAGTTGGGCAAAACACAACATTTCCAGTACGTCTGACTCACTGATTGTCTTTAGTTAATAGCTTCAATCGGTAATGTAAACTGGACCAGGAAACAATTGAGAAAAAGTTGTGATAAAAACTCTCTGGCTTTAAAAGCCCCCAAAAGGATAATATTAAATGTTGGCACAGAAGGGAGAATAAATCTAAATGCTATATGTATCGATGAAAGGAACAGCTCAAGCGACCACTAAATTAGAGATCCACTGCAACAGCAGATTAATCAACAAAAATTAACGCCAAAAAACGTTTACGATAACAGCGGGACTGGATACTCACTCCTTTTTTACATAATATGTAAAGTGAATAGTTGTAACAAAAGAAACATTTAGGCTTATGATTTGGATGGATTCCAAATGGCAATTGGATAATTGGGTCCTGCACCAGAAACCATACCCAATCACGGACAGCTAGCTTCCATGCTTTCTTCACCTTTTGAAATTCCAAAATGCTTAACCCTCCCTGCCCCCTCNCCCCCCCAATCCCATGCTGAGATTTTGAAATCATTAAATCCCCAGCTCTCTTCCAGATTTCCACTTTTTTTAACATCTGTAGTCCTCTAGAATTCTTAGTTTGACTTCCTACGACTTCCAACAAAAGAGATGATCTACTTTATTTACGTTTTTAAATCTTCCCAGACATTTTTTACTGATAATTTGAAGTCAAACAACTGTCAAAGGAGGGCTCGAAATCGCGACCAACAGATCACATGCATTCTTGACTTTGAATGTTTGGCAACTAAAACGTTTTCTTCTTCACTTTTAACGCAACATTTCTCTTCTTCATTTGCAACATTGGGTGTGATAAGAGAAGTTACTCTGCCGTCTTAAAGATTTATCGATAAAATACCGCGCTTGTTTGTCTCAAGCTGATTGCCAAAGCCAGAGTAACCGGCGATATATAATCAAGTGGGCGGCAGAACTCTGGCCGCCGCCGGCTTGTTTCGAAAACACTGCGATGGGATGCTAGTCCATTGCAGGGTTTCTCCCCAGCGTTAAATTTGCCGGTACCCATTTATACACCTGGGTGGACAGAGGCACTGATATGTGTACTGTCAATGTTTGATAATTAGTCACTCGAATTCAGAATATCGTTTTGTTGCTTACGTTTTGATCACTTTTGTAGCCTGCAGACCATTCAGAGTTCTTCTGTAGGAAAATTTTCCAAATCATTGAAAATGTGCTTAAATCCACCGGGAAATTAAAATGGTTATAACTGTAAAGAAAGGAGCAGAGATGGATGACTCCTTCAATGTCTTGTTTAAGAAATCGGATATTTTTTAATCAGCATTTTCACAATAAAAATAATTTTGAATAGTTCAGCTAGCATCAAAAGTAATTTTACAACGAACAATGATATGCACCCTCCGCCCCTCCTCCCTCTCACCAGCCTGGCAGTACAGTAAAGATTGATTTTCGGACGTAATTTGCTTTGAGTACTAATTAAGAAGTCATCTTACTGCAGTTAACAGATCAATAAGTCGTTAAACACTAAAGAAACGTATTCCTGCTGTTACAAAGAACACAAATGATTGTTTCTGAACTAACCGCGCCGTAACAATGAGTTGATATTTCGAGAACTTCACCAAAGGGGAAACAGCCTCCGCATTGAGTGACAACTTGGATCCGGGACAGTCCCAAGAGTGTTCCAGAAGCCCTAGCGCGCACAATCGGAAATGGAACAGCAGCAAGGACTTTGGAACTGAGCAGTAAGTAATTTACGTACAGTGCACCCTGAGATAATAGAACGTGGTTCGTAACTGGCTTATTACTCTGTAAACTTGTTCGAGGCTATGATAACTCACAGAGAGATACCTAGTATATTCCAAACCAGTTTGCTATATGAAACACTTGTCATTAGCAATATTTGTTTTGGTTCTATAATCTGTTTAGCGATAAAAAGTAAGAATTTTACATCAGGCTATGTCAGAGGACTTCGTTGTTTAGCTTGTAGCTCGTTGGAAACTCGACGAGTAAAAGTCCGGTAACACGGGCAACATTTTCCTTCAACTTGTCTCGCAACATTGTTGCATTCCAAGTTGAAACACATTGTTGCGCGTATTACCACGTTTGTGACCAACTTGTCTCGCAGCAAAATACAGTGTTGCAAGTCTGCAGAATTGTACAGGTATAATTGCTTAATCGTGTGTAAATAAAGATGGCGCGTTCTTTAATATAATTTGATATTTCGACGAAGTTCCACTTCGACTTCTGGCCGTCATTTTCTTCTTAATTTTCCGTACCAGCGAAGTTGTCTCAGTATGAAGCTCAGTGTCGTTTCAGGTAGCTAGGCGAAAGGTTGTATTTTTGCGACAGTTCTTCCAAGCCTTTTGCCTTTTTTCCTCCTTGTTTTGAAGGGACAAACGAGGTGTCCCAAAGACTATGATAACCCTCAAGGTCTTTGTAAAGGGCAAAGTTATAACTTTCCGAGAGTTACTGGTCTACTTTGAATACAGGCTCGCCTTCACCGTCCGCCTTGTACGCATGTTTTTTTTATTTGCCCCGCTTCGCGACAGTCAATCACAAGCGTTGAATTCAAATTTGTTGCGAGAGAAGTTGTAGCTTCAGTGGTAATACAAGCAGCAAAACTAAAATTTGTTGCAGAAAGTAGAACTCGAGTCTACTTTGCGCAACATGTTGCCTCAACTTGCAACACTGTATTTTGCTGCGAGACAAGTTGGTCAAAAACGTGGTAATACGCGCAACAATGTGTTTCAACTTGCAATGCAACAATGTTGCGAGACAAGTTGAAGAAAAATGTTGCCCGTATTACTGGACCTTAATGAAAAAAAAAAAAATGTAACTTTAAATACTTATTCTCTAGAGGTATGGACACAAGTGTAAATTTAGACTGTGGACACTCCCTCCATAAGATTCAATTTCTTTCGTGTTCCGATGAATTCAATCATTTCACCATCTGATATTTCCCCAAAGCTCAGTAGCACACAAATCTGTACCAATTAATGATTGACTGGTAATACAGTCCTAGTCTTAAACGAAAAAGGGAAGAGGAGAGGAGGGGAAGAAGGCATAACAATCTACGATAAGCTGCATCAGCCTGAGCCAAAACAAACAATTCTCGTTCTCGTATAACTTTTAATACTTTCCTGTTTAAAAATAACGCAGCCTCTGCTGTCAGCTTTTATCTCGGGTGAGCAGCCGTCGTTTTATAGAGATCTTTTGGCGGAAAAGTTGGGAAAGTTTGGCAGTCCTAGCTTTTGTGGGCGTGGTCAACACAGCACCCTAAGTATCTTCCTTTAAAATGTTCAGGCTTGTAAAAGATACATGTATGTAAATTCAGTGGTCACGAGCGCGGGACAAAGAAATATTCCAGGTTGTTGTTCTTTTATTGCCAGAGAACCCGGCAGTCATGAAGATCTGTTACAATAATAACTTTACGTCTTAAATCTTTGACTAGCAAGATCAAAATATCAATACTCCTTCCTGACGGCTATATACATATGTGATGGTTTGGAGATTTTGGCAGCAAATCAATGCAGCCTACTAGTTGACGTTTTCTTTTATCTCGTCACGTGTCTTCTCTGCAATGAACATATGAGCAATAATGGCTCCTTACTGAGATAAGCCCGCATTAAAACTCAAAAAAACCAGGATTGAAACTACTCGACTGTTACACCAACAAGAAGCATTGCTCTTCTGTTCGCTGATCGCTCAATCCTCTGTTCAAGGAGGGTTGTCCAATGCACATCTAGTCGTCCGGTTGTAAGTCCATCGCACTACTAAATAAATAATCTATTTGTGAAAATTAAGTGAAAGTCTTTGGATTTGATGATTAGACATCCGCTTACTCCATCAGCCTCAACTAGTACCCGTGCAACTCCATTGGTTTGTATCGGACATATATGAAACTCAAGTCAGCTTGGGATCCAAACACCCACCATGACATTCGGTAAAGAAAACTTTTTCATATCATGTACAGTTAAGGGCAAAGCAGTAAGCTAACCAGTATGCCAAGAGGTACATACCAGCAATCACTTTGTGGCTTGAAGGTTTTCCCGACAAGTAGCGCTTCCGTCAGTGTGTGAGACAATCCTGAAGAAAAATGAACTAGTTTAACAGAGATATGGAATACAACACAGGACCAAATAAGAAGAAATTACCTACATGAAGCTAGTATCAAGTGTGTCGGTGTGGCCAGCTAATGAGGTGTTAAGTATTCTTATAAGAATTAAAATATTTATAAGGGTAACCCCCTCATTCTTATCAAATTGTTTTGACACTGTCATTGCCAAGCCTGGGGCAGAAATAAATGCAAAACGTTCAACATCAGAATGTCATGTGTGAGGAAGAAATCGTGGTTTTCTTATGCAACATCGCTGTGCCATCGTATCAACATGAAATCATGCACTCGAACAGAATCAAGCAAAATCAACTTCTGGTGAATCAGCAAACTAAATCATTGATAAGAGTGGTAGCTCGTTTAATATTTCAAAGCTCATTGAACCTTGTTGGCTTGCAATGGCAATATATAAATGCTACCTTTCTTGCAGCGCTGCCGTATTCACGAGAATAGCAAGACCTAGAAACAGCTGGAAACACTGGCACACGTTCCCCTGAACAAAGCAATGTTCTGGTTAAATCATACCTATATACATAAGCACTAAATTGGTAAATTTCATCGTTACTTTTTAGTTTTACTTTCAAAACTGGATAAAACGGAAGGAACTTTGTTTCTATACCAACTTAACGTCTGTCTGGGCTATAATGCAAATACGTTTGCACCGAAATTTAAATATTACTCGATTGTAACACATTTCCAAAGTCACTGGATTACGTGTTGCTATTTTGTTCGTTCGAGTGAGCTTGGAAACGTAAGATCCATAATGAAAACCAGAAAAAAAAAGAAAAAAGTGTTAAATCACATCCTGGAGACAAGTTAAAAGATATCTAAACCACATTCTTGATATTATGTACAGTTCAGTGCCAGCTCGTATGCGAAGCAATGTACATACCGGCCGTTTCACTTTAAAGCTTGCACATTCTCAACTTGTAGCGCTTTGATAGCTGTCTGACGGAATTCTGAGCGAAAATATACACATTTAAAAGAAATATGAAATATAGATCAGGACCAAACAAGAGAAAACTACCTTCATGAAGGAGGTTTCAACTGTGGCCAGCTTAACTCAGGCGTTAAGTATTTTTACGAGAATTAGATTATTTAGAAGGGTAACCCCCTCATTCTGATTAAACTGTCCTGACACATGTTTTGACACAATTACAGTTTTGTGCTCTCACTTTGTCAGTAAATAGCGGTGTAGTTGCCATTTGGCCAGTGTTGCTTCATAGAACATACATCGAGAATAAAACTAGCTTTACTTTCAAAACTGGATAAGATCAGGTGATAGTAGTGCCTAGACTGGCTTGGTTTATCACAACATTTAAACAAACTTAGACGTACTACACCGAAACGGAGGACACTGACTCAGTGTCCTTCGTTTCGGTGTAGTACGTCTAAGTTTGTTTAGGACACTGAGTGAAGGGAAAAAAACAGAAATCAAACAGAACTGATATGATCATAATTGAGTTTGGCCACTGACAACACACAGATACTGCACCATGTGCTACAGTTACTTAACAGAGCGCATGATGTAGAGAAATCGAATTTATCTCAAGTTTCTGAATGTTCTATGACCACAATTCATTCAGCTAGTTCGGCCTCAGATTCTAATCAACAAGGCCAGCAAGCAATGTCGATCTTTACCGGTGCTGTTATTCATGGTGGTCAATTCAACATCTCTATCAGCAACCTCAATCAATCACTGACCTTAGCAACTCCAGAAACTAAGATAAAGTCCACAAAGAGGTACAAAAGACAGAAAGTACAAGACTCCAATTCAGAGTAGAAACCCTTTGTTAGCTTGAAAGCTCATGTGAGCTAAAATTTTCAGAACCTCTTCAATTGTCAAACGTAAGCCTAAATTTCTTTGAATGGGCTTTGTAATCTTTTTTCTTGAAATGAATTATTTTAAAAGTGCAGTTTTGCCTTTTAAGCATATTTGAATTCAGTATTTTAGGCGTCTTGACAGCATTGACTGGATCCACATAAAAGCGATATCGAGTTTGCGACTTCTTTGTCTTTTGTGGTCAGTTGACTGTGATTTAAAGTTACAAACATTACGTATTATTGTTTGTCACACAATGTAGTCACTTCAGATGTAGATCGCGACGTTTCAACTGCTTACATGTACTAGTCTTCTTCAGGCGATAAGATCGACTGATTGCATGGTATCATTTATATCACGAAGGTCCGCTGTGATTGTCGTGACAGAAGCAAAAAATTTTTGCGTGGAGGAAGTGACGAAAGATCTTTCTTGAAGCCATTTTTCCACATTTGAGAAAACTTTTTTCAAAGTTTTCATTCTACTTGATCAGTGTTCCAGTTAATTTTTTTTGGCAAGGGGTCATGTAATTTTTCAGGGGGGTCGCACAAAGTGGGTCTACCTGGCTAACCGCA